ATATATATATATATATATATATATATATAAATATAACGGATATATATATAAATATATTTTCAAATAAAATCATCTTTTAGGCATGTCTATTAAATAATTCATTACATTCCATTTGCTGTCTTCTTGCTTTTAACATAATATATCTTTTGTATTTTAAATAGATGATGCATAATAAATAAAAATGATATATATATATATATATATATATATATATAAATTTAAATATATAATAAATATTTATTTTTAAAAATTATCAAATTTAATATGTTTTCACTATCATTTAAAAATAAATTCTTCTATGTGTTTTATCAAAGTAGAATTTACATTCAACAAAATCAAAATATGGTTAACACCTAGAAGTGTTAAAACAAATTTAATTTTTGGTATTATTATTTTTAAAAATATTTATTTATTATTAAATGAATAAATATTATTATTAATAATTTTTTTTCTTTAATTGATAATCTTTTAATTATAGTATTTTTTGTTTATTTTGATTTTTTTTTTTGAACAATTTTATTTTAAATTTAAAAATAATTGTAAAAATGAAAATTTTTTTTTTTTCAATTTTGGTGAATATTCTGTCTTTTCTTACAGATGTTCATTTTTATTGATGATTCCCCAAGAACAAATATAGCAGACATACCTTTTGTAAACAATTGTTATCAATAATTTGCCTACTTTGTGTAGAACATTACCTATTATACTGAGTGTTTTCAACCATATCTTTCTGTTTCAAATAAAACTAGACTTTTACAATTTTAAATTGTAAATATATCAATAATACAAAATGATTTAACTTTTTTTTATTTTTTTGTTTAAAATTTTTTATTAACTTTCAAAAAAATTCTGTCAATAAATTTTTCTTTCATATTTAATTTTTTTAATTTAATTTTCAAAATGTTTAAATACATTTTGTTGATTTTTCTATTGATTTCATACCTCTTGCTATACATATCATATAATATATATATATATATATATATATATATATATATATATATATATATATATATTTTTTAATTATCTCTTCAAAAATTTGTACAATATATATATATATATAATTATATATATATAATTTTATATATATATATAATAAAATTTTTTTGTTTATACATTCTTTTTTTAGTTAGATACAAATATTAAAAGTAAATACTTTGTTTATAATAAACAGTACATAAAGAATATATAAATATAAAAAATGTCTTAAAAACAATTCCCAAACTTTGTTTTTTTTTATTATTGACGTCATTTTTTTACGTTTGGATACGAATCGAGCAGATATTCATGTCCGTGAAAAAAAATAGAAATTGTTTAAATTAAAACGATCATTTTCTCGACCTTGCTTTTAAAAATTCAATCGATAAAAAACCTCAGGATATATGACGGTTCCGTATAAATATAAATTCGATTCCTGTCGGAGGACCCATATTTTCTATGACAATTTCTCAGGCATTCAGGCCGGTAAATGCTGTTTATTATAAACTTTGAAAAACTTTACTTAAATATTTGTATTTATAAACAAAAAAAAAGATGTATAAAAAATCTTTGTCTTGAAATGACTTTCTCCATTTTATTATCAATTGTATTTAAACATATATTTATATATATATATATATATATATATATATATATATGTTCTAAAATTCAATATAAAAGAACAATTTCACGCTTTAATCATCAATGTCAAACATTTGCGACATAAAAAAAAAAATTTTAGTGGAAAAATTTTTTATTTTAATGAACGCTAAAAGCATGACTGTCAACCGTTGCATTTAAAAGCAAAAAAAAAAAACATCACATAATGGATGGCTAGAAACATAAAAATTTTGCCTTACCAGTTGCTCCCCTGATGAAATCTCAGAAACAGAGATGAATTTAGTACTTATAATAAAAATTGATTTTCACTGTTACATATATTTTATGCATCATTTGATTATATTAACAGGAAAAATATCCCTGAATATGAACGGATTATAAAAAAATTTAAAGACATATCGTTTTGTAATATATATATATATATATATATATATATATATATATATATATATATATATATATATTATTTATTTAAATATATCATTTATAATATATTGCTATATTTATTTTTTTTATGTTTCAAAAAAGAGCCGAAAACTTCAATATAATTATTTGAATTAAAATCATAAAAATCTGTTCCATCTTCAAATATAAATTTTTTTTGAATAGTTATTTATTTGTTTTTGTACAAAATTTTTTTAAATAAATTTTTTTTTGGAAATTTACGTGTTTTTTAAAGTTTATTCATTATTAAAATCAAAAATTTCTATGGTAACATGTTATTGGAAATTGTTTAAAAAAAAATTTTAAATCATGTTAATAATTTTTAACCAATTTTAGTTATATATTATATATATATATATATATATATATATATATATATTTTATAGTAATTTAAAACAACGTTCCTGGCCGCATACACAATTCGGAAAATCCTTGTTGAAAAAACTTTATACTTAAACATGAAAACAATAAACAAAAACTAAAAATTCTTGAAGCTATATACATAAAACAGTTGAAACCTAACCTGAACAAAAAATAAACTATGAAATCTCCACAAATATTCTTAAATGCATATAATTGATAACAGAAGGCATTGGTTTATACCAACGGCTTCCCCTTATAATTTTTTTCTCATTTTCATTTCTCACGTGGTCATATGTGACGTCAAGCTGCGGTGCGATTTTCACTTCCAGCGTCTCGTATGCACGAGTTTGTCCTCGCTTGGAAATCTTCCATGTAAACAAAAGTAGGCAATCATTATTGTTTTGTCCGTGTATTGTTTAATATATTGTAATGTAATTGTCATCTTTGATAATGGTTTATGTAAGCTGAAAGCTTAGATAGGATTAAAAAATATGTATCAATATTGTGATTTTCTTTCTTCGTTTAATGATAATGTTATTAAAGCAAATAGACGTTGTGAAAAGAATTTACATAAAATATATAGATAAAACTTGTCTATATCATTAAATGAAATATATATATCATATATATATATATATATATATATATATATATATATATGTATGATGCATGTATATACATATATATATTTTATCAAGAAATTATATTTTAATTCTGACCTCATTTAAACAAATAAATTAAAAAATCTGTCGAATATTATCCATTTAATATAAAAAAATTTATATATATATATATATATATATATATATATATATATTAAACAGTCTGTCTGTGGATGATAATATATATTCAGGAAAAATTTATTTTCATTTTTGTCTTTATTCAACAATGGGTTTTAAACAAAAGTTATTTTTAATAATGTTAATTCGTTAAATAGAATTGAGTTTTCCCATGTGTGTTTTATCTAAAAATAAATAAGCTTAAATTCACCTTCATTCGACAACTGAAATATCGCAATTCAGTCAAATTTCGATCCTAGCTAGTGGCATCCGGACATCTAGCCACACTGATCTTGATGAGCTGTTCTGTATTCAAAAACATTATCTGTCTGGATATCAATATATATATATATATATATATATATATATATATATATATATATGTGTATTTATTCGAAAATTATAACATAAAAATGTTATAAAATCACTACAAAAATAATATATTTTGTTTCAACACTTCTATATGTCTTATCAAGTGATGGCGTTGAAAGTAGAATAAAGGGTTTTAAAAGTTCAAATCAATTTAAACATTGCGTCTAAATTTTACAAATGACTACATAACCTAATATTAAAACATTAAATAATTTTTATAACCAAAGTCCGTTGTTGAAAATTTTTGAATTCTCACATACTTTTATTTTGATTGGACATTCAAAAAAACATGTAATTTTCTGTTATAATTTTCAAATTATATATTTATATATATATATATATATATATATATTATAATATATATACGTTTTTGTTTATATATATATATATATATATATATATATATATTTGTTTAGAAAAAGACAATAATTTTATTATCCAGTGTTCTTAAATGTTATTTTTTCATTAAAAAAAAAAACTAGATACAAACAGTAAAATATTTTATTATATATATATATATATATATATATATATATATATATATATATATATATATATATATATATGTTGTGTGTGTGTGTATTAAAATTACAAAGTTCGACAATTATTTTAAGACGTTTTTTTAATTTATGTATGACAATTTTTTATACATACAAATATTTAAGTAAATTTCTGTTTATAATAAGCATAATATTAAATAAAACTTACTTAAAAGCCCGGAACATAAAAATGTCTTAATATATATATATATATATATATATATATATATACATTTTTCTTTTTTTTATATTTTTAATTCTGAACTTATATTCGCAATATTTGACTATAAATTTCACGAATAAATCATTTTATATCCATTATCTACCATCAAACCTGATGAATTATTTATCCCATATCATTGAAACATGAAATCTTTTGTGTAGGATTTAAAATGTTTTTATTTAAACTTATTATAATAAAATATTATAATATATGTGTGTCTGTGTATGTGTTGTGTGATTTCACAAATATTCGGTGTGTGATTATATATATATGTGTGTGTGTGTGTGTGTGTGTTTGGGTGTGTGTTCATGTGGTGGGGGTTTCATTTTATTTCTTTTCATTTTTTCTGATAATGGTAGAGTAGGCTTTGCTAATTTCTCCAATCACTTTTAATCTTACACACACACACACACACACACAGATTACACAATTGCGCATACGCAATGGTAAAACATACACAATAAAACATAAACACGATCTCTCAAAATTAGTTTGATACAAGAATATTTTCACAAACACACATATTCTCAAAAAATCACAAAGACAACTCACACATATATATAAATATTGATTTGATATATATATATATATATATATATATATATATATATATATATATATATATATATATTTGTGTTATGATGTTGTTTTGGATTAGTAGAGACAAACGCCAAATAACACGTAACAAGTTGATATGAACACATTGAGTTAAAGATAGATAGATAGATAGATAGATAGATAGATAGATAGATAGATAGGTAACAAGCTCAAATAGATAGATAGATCTGATCGTTGACATCAGTAAAAAATTTATCTAGTAACTTTCTAATCTATATAGCTATTAGTGATAGATATATATATAAATTGAGATAACAAGCTCAGATAGAATATATATATATATATATATATATATATATAGATAGATAGATAGATATAGATAGATAACAAGCTCAGATAGATAGATAGATAGATAGATAACAAGCTCAGATAGATAGATAGAATAGATAGATAGATAGATAACAAGATAGATAGATAGATAGATAGATAGATAGATAGATAGATAGATAGATAATGAAGCTCAGATAGATAGATAGATAGATAGATAGATAGATAGATAGATAGATAGATAGATAACAAGCTCAGATAGATAGATAATGAAATGGATTCAGTCCGACATTTATTTAATATCTTTTCTGTTTATACGTTACTTAAATAACGTAGAAACCGAAAATATATTAAATAAATAATATATGTGAATGCATTGAGATAGATAAATATTAGAAAGAAGCAGGGCCGAAATAGATTGATAGACAGACAGATAGATAGATATTGTATATTTTACATTGTGATATATATATATATATATATATATATATATATATATATATATATATAGGAAAATAACATTGTTAAGTCAACATGAAGAGGCGACAGGCTGTTTCATGCTAGACGTAATCGTCATGTGGACTGACGATTGTGTCCAGCATGAAACAGCCTGTCGCCTCTTTCACTTCTACCATCTTTATATTTATATTTATACGTGTCATCTCTGATATTGGAGCACTTTATCCCATAAATATAGCACTCCTTAAAACTATATTTCTTCATATATATATATATATATATATATGTGTGTGTGTGTGTGTGTGTGTGGAGAGAGAGAGAAAGAAAGTGAGAACTAAGAAGAGTGATAGAGAGAGAGAGAAAGAGAGAAAAGGGAGATAAACAGAAAGAAAGAGAGAGAGAGAGAGAGAGAGAGAGAGAGCGTAAAAAAACCAAACGACGCACAAGCGTCCTATTTGATCGTCCTTGGAAAAACTTCAATGTCTTGGGGTCTCTCCCAGTACGGCATTATTTATAAGGGAGGCCCCAGGGGACGCATAATTTGTTTGTCTTTCCGCAAGTTTATACGCAAAAGAGTAATCTTCATAGATACAGGATGGCCATTGTTTGTAGGAATGTTTTTGTACGTGACACGAATATTTCCCCCAAAGGGATCAGCGCTCTTTCACTAAGATAGCCTATTGTCGGAGGGTTCCACAGTATTGGTTGAGGAATTCTTTTATTGCAGTTCGGAAGTTGTAGATTCAGCAAAATTCGATTCCCATTACTAAAATAACAGAATAATTCAACAACTCACAAGGAAGAAAATTCAGCAATATTTAATCATTTAAGCATTAATTTTATTTTATTTATGTAAAAAAAAAAAAAAATACAACTTCTCTACCCACCCCAGTCTCACCACCAAACTAGATCGATCTGAAATTAAAATCGATGGCATCTCTAGGGACTGAAACAACTCAGCTGATACCTCAACTGTCGACAGAAAAGAAAGAGAAGGAGAATAGAAAATAAAAACTAAAGTTTAAGACCGAGTGTAAAGTGGGGGAAAAAAACCGATCAGGACGAGGTTCGAACCTGGGGTTCCATGGACAGAAACCCAACGCCGTAACGACTGGTACCATATTGACGTCTTTCCGCCGGTCGACTGGATAATGAGGCAGGCCGTGGCAGGCAGGCCGTGGCAGGCATGCACGCCGTGACAGGTAGGCAGGCAGGCAGGCCGTGGCAGGCATGCACGCCGTGACAGGTAGGCAGGTAGGCAGGCAGGCCGTGGCAGGAATGCACGCCGTGACAGGTAGGCAGGCAGCCGAACTGGTTTACAGTGGACCTGCGAGAAGCAGCTGGAAGATCTGAACTTCGCGGGCGACATCAGCCTTCTCTGCCACAAACAACAAGATGCGCAGTAGAAGCTGAGGAGACTGGCCACCAAAATATCATCGGGAAAACGGAGGTCATTAGCCTAAACAGGAGACAAGAAGATCCACTTCGACTACACCAAGAAGACGTCAACGAAGTCGATAAGTTTGTCTACCTGGGAACGTCCTCAATAAAGATGCGGGGACAGATTAAAGCATCAAGCGCCAAGTCAACAAATTCCGACAAGCTTTCAAAATTCTGGAATTTTTTTCCCGTTTCCCAGCACCTTCCTTAGCTTTTCGAATATCTCTTTCGCTAGACCAATGCGTACTTCGGATCTCGGTGTCATATTTTTCATTCTTTATTAAAACGTTCTGCACTCGCTTGATGTTAATATCTCCAGTTCGTAACTCGCATCTCGGCCTTTTTTTTTTTATCTTCCTGAAGACCATACCTTCTGTCTTCTTGCCTTTGACAATTAGTCCTTTTGTCTCGCTTTTTTCTACGACCCTGTGTATGTGGTCCTGTAGTTTCTTTTCTGAGTCAGCCATCAACACAGTTTTTTTTTTATTTACATGTCTTACATAGTTAAGATAACACTCATCATTAATCAATCCTAGCAGAGTCTCCAGCTAGCTTAGGACAACGTCTTTGTAGCAGTTGAATTAATCTGGCGAGACGGTACAACCTTGTCTCACACACTTTTAAAAAAAAATTTTGTCTTGCTAATGTTCACCCGATACAAGGCCCACGAGCCACTCAAGGTAGAGAATTGCTGTGGGGTTTCATACGAATGCAAGAAAAGACAATAACTGAATAGCTCTAAACTTGATGAGGTCAATTAACATTTCAGAGCTCAATCGGTGACGTTAGAAACAAAGAGTTAAAGCAGACTTTAGAAGGAACCGGAAACCCAATCTTAAACAGGAAGCAAAGGATAAACATCTACTCCTGTTCAAAAGAAAGAGGAGGAGTGTGAACCGGACACTAGGCGAACCTATTTACTCCTATTGAAATAAAAAAAAATATTAGATAAAATTTCAGACTATTTACATTATTCGGACTATTGTCCTCGTCTTTGTCGTCACATTTATTACAACGTTTCGGCCGTTGTATGCTCCGGCCTTCTTCAGGTGGGTGGAATGTCGAACTGAACCCTTTATTTCGCTCGCTGGGGTAGACTGTTCTAGTTCCATGTGACATGTCCTCGAGGACACATGGCACAGTGGATAAAGGCGTTAGTTAGATCCAGTGACAGGACCCAAAGAGTTTGAGTTCAATACCCGGTTAAGGCGGTGGAGAACTTGGAGAGATGAATTAACAGAAGATAACTGATAACTGACATCCATTAAACATCGCACATAGAACTAGAACAGTTTAATTTATTCTTTTCTTTGTTTCTAACGACAACTTCCAATCTCTTAATTCTTTGCTTAGTTTCTGGAAGGCATCTTTCCCTATTCGGATATGCCATTACCAGTTTAGTTACATTTGTGTATTTCCGAATTCTGAGAACGTCAATACGTAGTTATCACCTCAGTCGCTCCCGTTCCACTAATATCATAAAAAAAAAGACACTGAAGGTGGTAGAGTAGAACGGTCGAAATAGCGAGACCAAAGCAACAATATCGAAATATTCACTGGATAACGTCAGTATTTTATCCCACAATTTCATACGATAAGAGCAACCCCCTAGAGCGAGACGGCCTAAATAGGGAGCTCAAAAAAATGGTGATACTCGTCGGAATATCTTATAGAATAACGCCAATACCTCTTTCCTCAACTTCATACAGCACTAGGAAGCACGTAGAACGCACCGATCAACATAAAACACAAAACAACAAAAATGGCGGTTTTCGTGGGAGAGTTTCATTGAATAATGGGAATATTTTGCTACACAATATCACACAGCAATAGGAAGCCCGTAGAGCGAGTCGACCGAAATAGAGAGCGCAGAATAAGAAAGATTGAGATACTTGTCTGAATATTTCATTGAATAATTCCAATATTTCATTCCACAACTCAATACAACAGTAGGAAGCCCGTAGGATGTGCCGATCAAAATAGAGTTCAAAACAACAAAAATGGAGATATTCGTCGGAATTTTTATTGACTGATACCGACAGTTTATTTCACAACTCCGTACAACACTAGGAAGCCCGTAAAATGCGCCGATCAAAATATAGCTCAAAACAACAAAAATGGAGATATTCGTCGGAATTTTCCATTGAATGATCCCAATATTCCATTCCACAACTCCATACAACACTAGGAAGCCCGTAGAATGCACCGATCAAAATAGAGATCAAAACAACAAAAATAGAGATATTCGTCGGAATTTTTATTGACTGATACCAACACTTTATTTCACAACTCCATACAACACTAGGAAGCCCATAGAGTGAGCCGATCAAAATATAGCTGAAAACAACAAAAATAGAGATATTCGTCGGAATTTTTATTGACTGATGCCAACACTTTATTTCACAACTCCATACAACACTAGGAAGGCCGTAGAGTGAGCCAATGAAAATAGAGCTGAA